AAAAGTTGCTTACTCGTTTACCAACCAAAAAAAAAAGATTATTCATTGTCTGCTACATCACAAATTTCGTTACAATATACAATTGCCGTCACTTTTCCAAAAAGAAATAGCTTCTTTTGCATATAGTTAACGATTACTGACAATTCAATTCAGGGTCATGTTTTGGGTAAGAAATGTCATGGTTTGGTTCATGTTCGACATGGTTCAGTTATGAGATGATTCTTATCGGTATGAAGGAAAAGTAACGATGAAAGTAAACATATATTACACAACTATTGAAAAACAGAGAAAAACAAATATTTCTCGACTATTTTTTTTCTCGCGTTTAACCTTTTCTGCCATATTTCATGACAATATAATGATGTCGCCATTTTCTAATGTTCTTCTTTGTTCATATACAATCAGATCCAAGTTTCACATATTAACGTTGATTTTCTACTGGCGGAAAATAAATCCCTCTAGAAAATAAGTCGTTAACAGTAAATTTCAGATATAAGCGTAACGGTTATAGAATGCACATTAATAAATTAATCACGACGGTAATATATTACTGCGTTTCAATGGTAACTTCTTTCAAAATTATTTCATTTAAAATTAATTTATTACTGCGTTTCAATGGTAACTTCTTTCAAAATTATTTCATTTAAATTTAATTTATTACTGCGTTTCAATGGTAATTTCTTTCAAAATTATTTCATTTAAAATCAAAAACTCGAGGCTGTAAAGAGCCTGTGTCGCTCACCTTAGTCTATGTACATATTCAACAAATGACACTCTCCAACATGGTAGACGAGAATAGAATTCTTGACAAAAATCTCTGTTTTGTTGATCTTGTATTGCTGATCATTTAGTCTGTTTAGTTTCTCTTTATCTTCTTTATTTTTTGCCCAAAACACAAAAGGGGGTAAAAAAAAATAGTCATTTAAGGGCAACCACTTCTATAGAGAGTGACAGTCTACTACCTATATCAGCAAAATTTGACATGTTAGTAGATCTTGTCTTGCTGATAATTTTTGTATTTAAGTCTAGTTATCTATTATAATTTTTAACATGTAAGGCGAAACCCCCTAAAACTGATAAAAATCGAATCGTCATTTAAGGGCAATTATTCCAAGGAGACGTCTTTTTTGTAGATCTTGCAATGTCTTGCTGACCATTTTTGCTTATTTAAGTTTCTATCTATCTATAAAATTTTTAAGATATAAGGCAAAAAACGGAAAATAAATGGTAAACATCATCATCAAAGAGCAATAACTCTAATAAGGAGTCGGCTAACCATTTCGACCATGGACTTATTGGTAGAACCTGTCTTGCTTATCATTTTTGCAATTTAATGTTTCTCTGTATTTTTTTAGTATTCAAGATAGTAGGCAGAAATGGAAAAAAAATTGTCATTTAAGAGCAATAACTCCTATAAGAAGTCGTCTGACAATTTTGACGTATACGGACAATTGGTAGGGCTCAACATTCTGAACATTTCTACTCCTGTCAGATTTTCTCTATTCATAATGGTTTTCAAAATAATAGACAAAACGTGCATTTAATCGGGTACCCCAATGTTTTATTTTTAGCCATGGCGGCCATGTTGGTTGGCAGGCGGGGTCATCGGACCTTTTTTTTTAAACTAGATACCCCAATAATGATTGTGGCCAAGTTTGGTTAAATTTGGTCCAGTAATTTCAGAGGAGAAGAATTTTGTAAAAGTAAACGGACGACGATATAAGACGGACAACAGACGGCGACGACGGACGACGAACGCCAAGTGATGAGAAAAGCTCACTTGGCCTATTGGGTCAGGTGAGCAAAAAAAGGACCTTAGAAATTACATATTAATATATAATAAGTAGATACAGTATGATTTCCAATGAGACAACTATCCAGCCGAGACCAAATGACGCAGATGTAAGCAACTATATGTAGTCGTATGGCTTTCAAGAAGAGGAAAACCAATACCCCATAGCAAGCTATAAAAGGCCTCAACAAAATTTAATATAAAACCATTCAAATGAGAAAACCAAAATGCATGATTTATGTACAAAACATACATAAATACAATATGAGAAAAACATAATCCCGAGTAATCGTTTTTATTCCTTTGTAAATATAATTGATAATCAAAGTACTGAAGTACTGAACATCGGATGACCGCAAGATCTTGTGGATGGTCAAAAGCACATGTCACTGAAAAAGATCACATCTCTATACCTGAAACTGAGGTTAATGTACAGATATATTTTTTTTCTGAGACAAGTTCGTGCGTGGATGATGAATAAATGACAGGAAATTCAACCACACCGTAATAACTATTATATTGTAGTGATACAAATCAGTATACCTGGGACTATTATACTAATATAATAATAGTCCCAGAGTATGTATACACTGGTTTGTTGTTATATATTATATTAATATAACAGTTACATGTAAATATAATTTTCATCCATTTGTATATCATTCTATTGTACTATTCTAATAATAGTGCACTGCAAGTGCATGGTGGACACATGGAAAAAAATTCCATTTTTCTAAAAGATTGGCTATGAAAAGCCATTCATATTTTCCCGCAAAAACAATTACAGAGTTACCGGTCCTTGCCGCGAGTGTCACAAAACGTTCTTGAGATATTCTTCCACAAGCTTTAACGCAATTTTTTGGTGCGTGTGCATAGATATTATCAATTATTTTTTTACTTTTATATATATATATATATATATATCTAACGACAAAACATTTTCATATTATTAATTTGTGTTTAAAAAAATATTCATAGGAGCATCCATTGAAAAAAATGAATTTAAAACAAGCGGTAAGGAATGTTATTTTGCACTAGATAATGTCCGCGGATCTATATTTTTTTTATAGATCTGTTGAAAACCCAAAACTAATTTGCATAATGGAAATTTAGGCGATAGCAGTACATCGGAATGACCTCACGGTCATCTCGATGTAAAAAATGACATTATATCTAACTTATTCTACTTCTAGTGATCTTTCATACATTTTAATTAAGAACTTTGTAAATATATGTAATTGACAATTTATTAAGTTCTCCGAAAATCTGAGGAACTCTTTTGAAGAACAACTTAGTTTCATTTATAGATATTAAAAAAAAGTTTTACTGTTGTCCATGTTAAAATTTTTAGAAATAACTTTAATTTCATTACTTCCATTGACGTCACATCAGGTCAAAGCGGTGGATTTGTTTAGTGTACGCTGATTCAAAGGGTTTTGCTGATTGACGCGTACGTTTCGTCACGAGGTATTACGAGTCCAGAAGTCAACACTCCTGCACTGATATTAAATGTCATTCATGTTCTGTACATTTATCGTTAAAAGAAATGTTTTTTTTCTGCTCCTATGCACAACTTTATGGAATATTTGGTTTTCATTGCTCTTCATCTTAATCATTCTTTAGGCTTCCAAATATTTAGATGCGGGGCACCACAGACGAGTCACAAAAATACTTAAATTTTGTTTTAGGTATTCACGAAATAAGTATTTTCAGGGATACTTCACCCTAGTCTTATGTTTGTCTTTAAAAGCCGTTTTCATTGAGATTATACTGCAAGTTCAGTCGACTACTTACAGTAAAATTCGCGGTAGTGATCACCAAGCTCTTATAAAGCGCACAGACAAATAGAAAATTCAGTTTACCGTTAAATATTTTTTGAAATTTCAAGGTGGGCTAATTTCCCGCCAATGTTAGCTGAAATCGCTAGGGTACAAGTACCAGGCAAGGTGCATTTTGTATACTTTGAATGTTCTTTTCCATGATATTCACTGTATTTTATTCAAAACTTTTCTTTTACATTATTTAGGGCTTTTGAATATTTATATAAACGAACAAAGACTTCTCTAATATACATTTAACAATATAAGACATAAGAATATGTGTTAAGATTGTCAATTTACGTTCAAAACAATAAACGAAAAACAAATATGACCAACTTAACTAAACTATGACAAAATCACTGAACTAAACTCTTCTCGATATGATTCTTGAGATTGCAACGTCAGTAGAATTTTAAACAACGCCGGAGATCAAAATGGACATTTTTGTTGGTGTTGCTCGCTAGGAAATTTAATAAAATCATTCTAAAAGTAAGTTTAATTGTATCTGTTCATTTTTTTTCGTTAAACTGTTGATTTTCTATAATATCAAAATGGCTGCCTTTCGAGCGTGTATTTATAGGTCCGCTTCGAAGAACAAAAGATCTAAATTTTCCCAATAGAATCGAAATAACTCTATCATGCCATGCTCTATGCTCATTTTAACATGGGTAGGCGTTATATTTGTCAATATTTAACACCTCGCTAACGCTCGGCATTAAGATATTGACAAATATAATGCCTACCCATGTTAAAATGAGCATAGATATATTTGTCAATATTTAACACCTCGCTAACGCTCGGTATTAAGATATTGACAAATATAATGCCTACCCATGTTAAAATGAGCATAGAGCATGGTATGAAAGAATTATTTCTTAATTATATGTAAGTTGCTTAATATTTTTTGTTATAAGAGTACAATATGGAGTGAAAATCAATTTGAAATATTAAAAAGACATACACACTGCAAAAAGAGCTGCAAACAAGATGTTTCGTCCCTTTGGTTGTTTAAATAATTTGGTTGACATACTATGAAGTAAAAGAGTTGAATATCATAGAGTTTATACTTGTGCTAAAAATGTTTTAACAACCATGCTCCAGATTATTTATGTGATATTTCTAATGGCACAAGTCATGAAATCACTACTTGAAAACTAAAGACTGAGCAACACGATCTCAATAAAAATTGAAATTCTTCATAGCAAAACCGAATTGGTATTTTTTTATTCTTAACTGTAATTCAATAATGCGATTTTTTACCGTTCCTTCGTCCGAGACATAATAAACTGAGTTCAGCGACATAGACATCTCACTCTCAGCAAATTTGGAGAGAACGAGGGATTCAGCCAGAGGAAGTATCTTTATTGATTATAATGATTCATACTTACCTTGGTCTGTGCTGTCATTAATCTGTTGTTGTAAATAAGAAAACATTAAACTGTTTCTGTTTTCAGTTTGCTGGTTCATCTCATTTTTCTTTTCAATATCTGACAATTTTTGCTGTAGCTGAGCTAAAATTTATAAAAAAAAATCAAACAAGGGAAAATTGTGAAACTGCTAATATTTTCGTATGTTTCAAAATTTATATTTTAAATATATTTGTTTCAGTTATTCATAGATATATAAACTACTATATGAAATTCATAATCCAATCACAGCGCTCAAAATGTTCCCTCCTTCACTTTGAGTATGGTACATTAATGGGCAACATAAAGCCAGGAAAATGAGTTACTATACTTCCTTGTATATGCGTGCGAATCGAAGCTAGAACTGCCGAGGAGTATGCTATTGAATTAAGGGGCTCATACTGCTTTATTCTTAAAGGTTAGATATTACTTGGTCATGTTTTATGAATATTTATGAATGTTTATAAAACATGACCAAGTATTGTCTGACCAATTTTTAAACCATTGTGGTGACGTCAGCCTATTCATTTACCGTGGATTCTTTTTTCTAGAATCAACGCTTCCTAAATCTGCCGCTGAAATGGACTCACCAAATTATATTCAATTGTTTCCTTTGTGTGACTTATTTAATTAAGTTTGATTTGGCTACTTTACAGAGTTCTGTTCACTAATGGAATTAATTTAAAAACTTACCTTTAATCTTTGTAATCTGTATATACCTTCACTGGGAATCGAACCCTTCCTTGAAATCTGTTATGAATCACTGACATAAACACATCGATGAAACCTCTCGGCTACCAATGGGTTACAACTTAGATGTCTTTTTTATATATATAAATGAACATCGGGGTTGTACCTTTATATATATACACAATGTGCAGTCGTATAGTATAAGTTGGTAGCCGTGAGGTTAGCATGGTTAAAATCAACGAGTTAAAAGATATAAGCATTTGTCGGTTTAGGTTCGAATCCCTGTATTATCTCTGTTGTCCCAATTCTGTTTTTTTTTCTATTTTGCATGTTATAGTGGATATTTTTGTAATAATAGCGAGTTTTACCGTTTATTTTTTGGATTATTATTGGCTATTTCACATGTTTGAAACAAAAATGATTTCATTCTATTTGTCAATTTTTGTTGCATAAATATAGTATGATTTCTTCTGTTTTACTACATAATTTTACAAATGTTTGTTCGGAAATTCCTATGCGAGAAAATCGTGATGTGCCTAGAATGCTAGAAATTTCGGTAACATACTTATCATATATACTTTATATATGCTCTTTGGTAGGGTTGTTGTCTTTTTGACACATTCTCCATTTTCATTCTCAATTTTATCAGAAATAAGTTCGAATATGTCTTATTTTGTAAAAACAGATAATATTCAGATGCCTGATAATATAAAGATCTTTAAAGGTAGAAGTGTTATATTTGTATTTTGTTAACCAATTAATTGTGATCTGAGATTTATCAATGGATCGTTGGACACGATAACATGGTTATTTAAACTCACTTACAATACCTTCTAATTTAGAAAAGGCTTTAATTTTTAAAAGAAATTAACACAATAGTTTAAGTTATAGATACAATGGATAAGCGTAGATTCATGAAAAACAAACCATTCGCCCTCCGGGCTCATGGTTTCTTTTTCAAGAATCCACGCTAATCCATTGTATCTATATAACAGAACATATTCACACAATCGAGCGACATAACAAAATTAGCCTCTCATTGTAATAATCAAACTTTGATATTAGCTCACTTTAAGTGTTAACATGTTTAATAAAAGGCCTTAGGGATGTAAATCAATTAAAGGTCATTTCAACAGATGGAATGAAAGTGCAATGATATAGTGTTGTGATAACATAAAAGGATAACGTATTCAAAAAATGTCCGTTACAGGTACAATTTAATCTTATACGATATATCTAAAACTCCTTCATTTGAAAAGCACACAATGTTATATAAATCAGTTTTTCTAAAATTGTATATTTTTAAATAAGGACAAAACTTCATCAATAGATTTTGATTAACAATCAATTCTACATCAGGTGCTTGCTTTTTTTTTATTGGCGAATGTATTGGTTTTTTTTTTCTTATTCATAAACTCCCTTTCATTTTTTTTCAAACATTGAGTTTTAGGTCTGGTATAAAAATTAGATTAAATATTACATGTATTTTACCTACGCCGTTGCTTTTTTCGGGGGGAAAGGGGGGGGGGGGGGGGTAAATCATATTTACAAGAGTGTCTATAAATGAGTTACAACTGCTTCGAAGCACATTTAACAGATTGAAAGGATATATCACAGTGATATAAACTGACTAAAAGTTGAATTGTGAAACAAACAAAAAAATCTAAATAAGTTGAAATTTACTGGTGCAGTAAAATTTGTACCTTTAATGTTATTATGAAAAGCAAATCATTATCAAAGCAAAGCAAAAAAAGAGAAAAAGTTTTAAAATAAAAGATAACCTAAATCTTTAGCTTTCCAAAACTCTGATTACTGAACCAGCGGTTGGGAAGAATAGTTATTTCCAATATTCCTATAAAAAAATAGGAATTTTATTAGAACTTTTCCCTGACATAAGTAAATAGTATTTGATTTAAAAAGTCTGAACCAAAATATTGGCTGTGAAATAAAAATAGTTGTAACTCAAATGTATTTATTGATTTAAACTGTAAATAAAAAAAAGGGTAATTCCTCGCTAAAATTTTTCATGATTTACTTTCATACTCACAATAAATCAGGAAACATATACAATCCCTACATTTTCTTTGTACTGTTCTGTCACCTAATGTCTATAACGCATTTTTTTTTAAATTTCCCAAATTATAAAAAAAAGTCCTTACATCACTAAAGCTACCCCACAAATGAAATGCTATAAAATGAAGTCATGCATCAATTAAAAACATTTAATTTACACTGACAATGAAACTAATTCTTGAATACAACCAATCAAGAGATCATTTGAGCCTTAAGCACTTTACAATATTCTAAGTTTATAAGAGAATGTTAGAACATACTCACCCCTTCTCGTCCAATGAAAAGTCAGTTTTGTTCCCTTCTAATTTTCATAGTACATGACTTTCCATGCACTATAAAATGCTTTACATGAATGACTTTTCATTGTAGATTAATTATAAAAGTGAACTCTTAATAACTACATTAAAGTGTACAATCCCCTGAGGCATTTTCCTTGGGAAAATAGCCTACTGATTAAAGATGAAAGAGAATAGAATTTAAAAAAAACATTTTGAATTTTGCAAATGTTTATCATGGTACATATATATAACAAACAAAAAAATGAAATGGGGGCAAAGATGTAGGTAAAATGATCTTTTATTCAATATTGATAGCAGACATTCGAGTCAATTATAATTTTTTTCTTTCAAGAAAACAATGTCAAACTGTCAAATGCTGATATATAAAGCAAAGGATTTTTTTTTAAACAAAACACAATACATGTACATTCATCAATAAAAAGTAAGCATCTGATGTTGAATGGTTGTAATTCAAATATTCATAGAGTGAGTTTTATAATTATCAAAAAATATACAAATTTCAAAAAGCTGATTTATATAATATTGTGTGCTTTTTAAAATCAAGAAATTTAAGGTATATAAGTATTAAATTTTAGCTGAAGCAGAAGAAAAACTCAATGTTTGAACAATTTATCCTTTTTGTCCTCACAAAACTATGTTAGTGCTATTTCATTCCATCCATTGAAATGATCATTACCTATGTTATACATTCGTTTTGTTAACCTGGTTAACACTTTATTATAAAAAATGAATTCTTATTAAGGTTTGAATATTACAATGGGAAAGGATAATTTTGTATGGTCACTTGAAAGTGTGAATATGTTCTAAATTGGTCAGACAATACTTGGTCATGTTTTATGAACATTTAAAACCCTCGGCTACGCCTTGGGCTTTAAATCTTCACAAAACATGACCAAGTATTGTCTTACCTTTACATAATCCATTACTTCATGATAAGTACTTGCTAACGCTCGAACTTAATCATGAAGAAAGGGATTATCATTCTCTTCCATATACTAAGAGTTCACTTTTATGATTAATCTGCAATTATAGGTTAGACAATACTTGGTCATGTTTTATGAAGATTTAAAGATCAAGGCGTAGCCGAGGGCTTTAAATCTTCATAAAACATGATCAAGTATTGTCTGACCAATTTAGAACATATTCACACTTTCGATTGACCTTACAAAATTATCCTTTCCCATTGTAACATTCAAACCTAAATAAAAATTCACTTTTTATAATGAAGTGAATGTATAACATAGATAATGATCATTTCAATGGATGGAATGAAATAGCACTGACAATAGTTTGTGAGAACAAAAAGGATAAATTGTTCAAACATTGAGTTTTTCTTCTGCTTCAGGTAATATTCAATACTTATATACCTTAAATTTCTTGATTTTAAAAAGTACACAATTTTATTTAAATCCGCTTTTTGATGAAATTTGTATATTTTTTTATAATTATAAAATTCACTCTATAAATATTCGAATTACGACCATTCAACATCAGATGCTTACTTTTTTATTGATGAATGTACATTTATTGTGTTTTTTTTTTCTCGAAAAAAGTCCTTTGCTTTATATATCAGCAGTCTGACATTGTTTTCTTGAAAGAAAAAAAATAATAATTGACTGGAATGTCTGGTATAAAAATTGAATAAAAGATTATTTTACCTACATATTTGCCCCCATTTCATTTTTTGTTTGTTATATATATGTACCATTATAAATATTTGCAAAATTCAAAATGTTTTTTATAATTCTTTTCTCTGTCATCTTTAATCAGTAGGCTATTTTCCCAAGAAAAATGCCCCAGGGGATTGCTTTATAAATATTTGCAAAATTCAAAATGTTTTTTATAATTCTTTTCTCTGTCATCTTTAATCAGTAGGCTATTTTCCCAAGAAAAATGCCCCAGGGGATTCATTAGTGTAGTTATTAAGAGTTCACTTTCATAATTAGTCTACAATGAAAGTCATTCATGTATAGCATTTTATAGTGCATGGAAAGCCATGTACTATGAAAATTAGAAGGGAAAAACTGACTTTTCATTTGACGAGAAGGGGTGAGTATGTTCTAATGAAAAGTCATTCATGTGTAGCATTTTAAAGTGCATGGAAAGCCATGTACTATGAAAATTAGAAGGGAAAAAACTGACTTTTCATTGGACGAGAAGGGTGAGTATGTTCTAATGAAAAGTCATTCATGTGTAGCATTTTATAGTGCATGGAAAGCCATGTACTATGAAAAATAGATTGGAAAATACTGATTTTCCATTGGACGAGAATGGGTGAGTATTGCCAAATTGAATGTAAACACTTTTTTTTCAAATACATGAATTGGCTTCCTAAATCTGTCGCTGAAATGGACTCATCAAATTATATTCAATTGTTTCCTTTGTGTGCCTAATTTCATTAAGTTTGAATTTGCTAATTTACTGATTTCTGTTCACTAATGGAATTAATTTAAAAACTGATCTGTAACTTTTGCAATTTTTATATGCCTTCACTGGGAATCGAACTCCTCCTTGAAATCTCTTATGTGTGACCGACATCAACACATCGAGGAAACCTCTGGGCTACCATTGGGTTGCATTGTAGATGTCTATTTTATATATATAAATGAACATATGATACACATCGGTATAACGAACACACATGTGTACCATTAAATGTGTAAATTATATATACATAATAGACAATCGTATAGTATAAGTTGGTAGCCGTGAGATTAAGATCCATGCGTTATAGAGTCAAGTTAGAAGTAGAGACTTGTCGGTTTAGGTTCAAATCTCTGTTTTCTCTTTGTTGTCCATATTCTTTAGTTTATCCGTTTTTCTTATTTTGTATGTTATCGTGGATATTTTTGTTATAACAGAGGGTTTCCCTGTTTTTTTTTGTATTCTTATTGGCCAATTCATGTATTTGAAAAAAAAATGATTACATTCAATTTGGCAATTTCTGTTTTATAAATATAGTATGATTTCATCTGTTTCACTACATATCTTTACACATGTTTATTCGCAAATACCTATGCAAATAAATTGTGATGTGTCTAGAATTAGGTTTCTTGCTAGAAATTAATGTAGCATACTTATATACTTAAAAATAAGTTCGAATATGTCTTATTTTGTAAATTACAGATAATATTCAGATGCTTGATAATTTAAAGACAGACATGTTATGTTTTTTATTTGTATTTCTCTAACCAATTCATTGTGAACTTTGATTTATAAATGCATTGTTGAACATGATAACATGGTTATTTATATTCACTTACAATACCTTCTAATAAGAAAATGCTTTAATTTTAAAAGACATCAACAAAATAGTTTAAGTAATAGATGCAATAGATAAGCGTTGATTCATGAAAAAAAAAAAAAAAAAGTTCGCCCTCCGGGCTCATGGTTTCTTTTTCAAGATCAACGCTTATTCATTGTATCTATAATACATAATGATGTCTTTTAAGGCAAATAATACGTATTTGGTTGTTTTCGGATTTTGATGAAATATTATAAGTAATAGGTTTATAAATGTGACTATAGAATTTATGTAGAAAGCGACGAAAAATATGCATCTTTTCACTTTAAAATTTCAGTTTCTCAAAAATCCATCCACATAACTTTGTTTAACAATAATATGTATTGCTGTAAATATTTCCGTGATACGATAAAGATATATAAATATAAGAGGATCACCGTATTTTGATTAGAAAAGATTGAAAATGATTAATGCAGCCTTTAATGCATTGTTTCATTTGTTGTTTCATGTTGTTACATGAACACACAGAAGCATGCATACGGAATAAAATGCTAATTATTTTGACTTACCAAGCATCGTAAAATAAGCAACGGTTGAAACCAAAACAGCAGTCAACAACGATACTGTAAGTGTCTGAAGAAAGTTTTTTAACCATTCCTTCCACGAAGGAATAGTATAATGGTCCATTTTGATTTTTTTCTTGTCTGTCTTGATGTCGTCGCAAGTAGGGTCGTTATCTATTCTAATTTCTGCATACTCTTGGATATCATTGACAGCCATTTTAATTGTAGCTTCACAAAACAAAATAATATGTAAACTCATGAATGAAAAATTATTTCCAAACTATCAATTTATAGTAACAATATTAAGGAAGTATTACATGTAAACCAATGAACACTTTACCATCATTAGTTTCGTTTGGAGTAATAATGTGAATTCGTAAACTCTTTTAACTAATATGAATCATGTACTGTTTATTTTAAAACTTTTACAGATTACTATTCAGTTGTTATATCAAACAAAATTATTACAAAGATGCGAATTAATTAATTTTAAAATTCATAAGATGTCTAACAATATCGCCATTCACTTGAAGATTTTCATATTTGCCTTTCGGGATTGGATTTGTAAGGATACCTAGGCCAATATGTCAGTAAAAAAATATCCCTGTTTTTTTAATAATAATGTAACTTTATCGAGTGAATACAATTGCTCGTATGAATGTTTTGACCGGTTAGGTATCCATGGCTGTCTTCGTTCTGTAAGTATGTTCATACTACTGCATTTGTTTTCCAGTAGACGCAATATTCATTTATCTTAATTTTGACAATTTACCCGGGGCACCTGGGAAAATGCCCAGTTTTTGTTGGGGTTCATCTTGTTAAGTCTAGTTTTCTATGTAGTGTTTTTGTACTTGTTTTTCTTTCTTTTTTTGCAATGGCGTTGTCAGTATGTTTTCGACCTATAAATGAGTTTTGAACATCCCTTGGTATCTCTTTACATACAAATGTCTTCTAAACTAGGATTGTTTTAATTGAGTAAGAAAAGTTTGTAATAGACACTTTAGAAAGATCTGGTCAGAGATAAATTTTCTCATGCATCACCATTACATTTCTAAGAAAAAAAATCGTTTCAGCGTACAATCTCTATAAACAGAGTATCAGTTGCCTGACACGGACCAGTTCACAAAATATAGTTTAAAAAACGTAGACGAATAATGAAAACTATTCTATTACCAGTGTACTTTTAAATATAACCATTTCAAATAAACATCTTGTAATACATAAAAAAGAAACTTGTTATACATAAAAAAGGAACAACTAAAAATTACCAAATTATTGGACAGTACAACAGAGTACATCAACCACCAATAACCTACTCCTCCAAGACATAAGTCGTATAAACAAAGACAGACAGCAATGATTTAGAACAAAATGTAGGGTTTTAAAAAAACCACACAAACGATACCAGGCTTATAAAATACTGCAACCCATAGACAGTCATTCTTGAGGGAAAGCAGGAGGAATATTTACGGACTTTTGTCGGGCAGAATATTCATTTTCATCCTATCTTTGGCAAGGTTATTTTTCAGTTCTTACTAGGTCTTGATATTCAATTCCGAAATCCTCCTGATCGGCCCCTTCCCCAGAATATCAAATGCATGGTCGTCCCCTTATAGTGAAAGGGGTCAGTAAACAAGTAATCCCGGGCCAATGTGTGCTGCCTAACCATCCAGACTTTTTTTAAATTGTCACACATTATCGGAAAAATGGATAGAAATTGAAAACACCATTAGCTATCCAAGATCTTTCCTGAGCTACCCATACTGTGTATCTCCTACAATGTAAATGTGGTAAGCAGAACAGTCAAAACGTATGACTCATGATCGTAATAACTGTTTATTGACTATGAATGTAAGCCAGAACTTCTTGTCAGTCGACATTTGATATCTTCGGATCACACAAAAGCAGGTATCAACCGAGCTGACTGCCTCTTCGTTGCCTTTTTTTGCATGCTCCAAGAGCTCCAAGGTTGATCCGTTTGTGGCGACTTTTAAAAAAGGGACCAGTATATATAGATAATGCCCTTTGGAGTATTCCTTGAGCCGTCTGGTATTGTTGTTCCCTATTCCAGTGATTTTGTATATTGAGTTTTTCATTCGGAAGATACAATTTGCCTTCCACCACCTGTTAATATTCAATTTGCATTACTCAAGATTGCAGAATGCTTTAGTCTGAGATAGGAGGCTTCGATGATTCATACGCATTATACAACGGATTAAATAGATTCGTAACGAAAGAAGTGCCAACTGTGCAATCTCTAAATAAAACTAAAAGGCCACAAGAGACTTAATTCCTCAAATTGACATCACTATCTTTTAGAAAACTTACAATAAGAATCAAAGGAGTGAAAATTAACAGTGGAAGTTGCCTCGAAACTAGTGTAATAAAAAGATTCAAGGAATACTCCAAAAAATCGAAATAAAACATAATTTACATGTAGTGTAATAGGCTGCTACTGTTTATATATGTTTTCTATTTATATTAGCCGATTTAATCACTAAAACCAGAAGAAGAAAAAAAGGTATATCGAATTTACGAAACACAACACAATGTCAGAAATCTCTGCGCGTTACGAACCTGTGCAACTACTCTCTTAGGAGTACGTAGGTGGCCTGATGCAAGGCAAAATTTCTGCCACTATCCAACATACCAGTGGTAGTCTTAATTTCCAGCCCTCCATCCCGGTCGACCCATATTGCAGGACGGACAGTTTATTTGTTATTTATGAAAATATAAAGTATTTTGCATTCAAACCCCAGGAAATAATAGATATGCGTCACATCAGGTTTTATCAGTGTCCTTGTCAAGCAACTTCCACTGTTAATTTTCACTCCTTTGATTCTTGTCGTAAGTTTTCTAAAAGATAGTGATGTCAATTTGAGGAAGTATCTTGTCGCCTTTCAGTTTTATTCAGAGATTACACTTGACCCTTAACCTTATCGTTATTTTTTTTGAAGTACTGAACTGTTTTGCTAGATATACTGATTTCTATTTGCAAAAACAATACGAAAACAAGAAAATTAAAAAAAAATATAACTTACTCTCAACGGACAAGTAGCCTACTCGATCATTGAATTTTCACCGATGTAACTTCATAGAAACATAGATTAACGGATCGAGTCCTCGATAAACTCGTCTTATTCTTTTTTTCCCGACTATATTTAGAATGGTATAGACTGAGAACAGTGTTTGGTTTTTCCCTCTCTTTCTTCAACTAACTAAGTTTTATTTACTTATATTGAATTACGTTGCCAAAGATTCTTGAGTATTGTATGACATAAAAAAAAATTGAAACTATATTAGATAAAAGATTTTTTTAAATCGGAGATTGTCCATATATATATAACATAGACCGCTTGTCACCATCCAATATTTCTTTCTGTATTTATCATGTTCAGAAAAACATTTGAATACATATCAATAAAATTGCAGAATTTTAGGATCATGGGTGGCGGCCATAATAAATTGAGAACACCTGATTTGAAAAATGCAAAAACGTTGTTTTCCCTTTCTTTATCCGATTATATTTTTAACAATAAATCGGAACAATTTTTAACAATAAATCGGAACAAACTTCATCTAAAAAGGAAAGGGGAAAGACAATCCATTCCTAATATTAAACACGAGGCTCATGAGAGCCTGATATCGCTCACCTGTAATTTCAGTTTCAGGCATTTGACCTATTTGTAGATCTTACTTTGCTGAACAAATTTGTCATTTACACTTTCTCTCTTTCTATAATAATATTAAAGATAATACATAACCCAAAACTGTAAAATTTCCCAAAAATTAACTATCTCTGGACAGTAACCCAACAATAAGTTGTCCTATTGGTCTGAAGATTACTTGACAGGTAGATCTAAACTTGTTTAACACTTCCACCTATGTCAGTTATGCTCTTACTGCTTTAGTTTTGGAGATGAAAGCCAAAAGCTTCATTTGACCCCTATGTTCTATTTTTAGAAACTGCCGCCATGTTTTTGAATGGATCAAATCCCCGAATACAATCGATAAACTAGATACCCTAAGGAACATTCAATTAAAGTTTTTAAGTATTTTACTAAGTAGTTTCAGAGAAGAAGATTTTTGAAAAAGGAATTAGACTCACAAAAAATGTAAAAAAAAACAACGTTTCGAGGGCACTAACTCATTAAGGGGTCAATTGACTATTTTGATCATGTTGACTTATTTGTAGATCTTACTTAGCTGAACATTTATTGCCATTGATACTTTCTCTCTATCTATTATAATATTAAAGAAAATAACCAAAACAGTAAAATTTAATAAAAATAAACTATTTCCAACAGTTACCCAACAATGGGTTGTCGAACATGTCTGAAAATTTCATAGATCATAACCCATTCATCACTTTAACTCCATTTTTACTTTTGCTCTAACCGCTGTACTTTTTGAGATATGAGCCAAAAACTGCTTTTGTTCCCTATGTTCTAATTTAGCCATGGCGGCCATGTTTGTTGATGGATCAAAACTTTAGATACAATTTACAAACTTGATACCCTAAGGAACATTCAGTTAGAGTTTGGACTGTATTTGGCCATGTAGTTTCAGAGAAGAAGATTTTTGAAAAAGTAATAGACTTGCATGGAAAAATGTAAAAAATAAACGTTTCAAGGGCAATAACTCCTTAAGGAATCAATTGACTATTTTGGTCATTTGACTTATTTGAAGATCATACTTAGCTGAACATTTTTGCCATTTACACTTTCTCTCTTTCTATTATAATATTAAAGATAATAACCAAAAACAGTAAAATTTCATAAAAATAAACTATTTCGGACAGTAACCCTACAATGGGTGGTCCAATTGGTCTGAAATTTTCGTAGCAGATAGATAGATTTTCACTTATTCATCACTTTAATTCCATGTCACCTTTGCTCTAACTGCTATAGTTTTTGAGATAAAAGCCAAAAACTGCATTTGACCCTTATGTTCTATTTTTAGCCATGGCGGCCATGTTTGTTAATGGATCAAAACTTCGGTTACAATTTATAAATCAGTTACCCCAAGGAGCATTCAGTTAAAGTTTAGAAGTATTATGCCCAGTAGTTTCAAAGGAGAAGATTTTCAAATGTTAGCGAACATGATGAACAAATTGTGTAAAATTGTTTTTAAAAGGCAACAACTCCTTAAGGGATCAATTGACAATTTTGGTCAAATTACTCTTCAATCTTTTACATCTCTCTGGCAAATTTCAAACAAAACAAAAG